GCGTAAAAAAAAATTGTCCCTTCCAGTCCGAGGAAACCTTCTTTTGCGCTGTGTTATTCTGCTTGCAATATTTAAGCGGAAAACTAACTCGTTTGACGAGACAAAACCCTGTGACTGGCAACCGAAGTTCCTGCTGTTACGTCCGCGGGTTTACGCCCAAACAAGCGATGTCCCAACTAAAGGTCTGAAGCGGAATCTCACCACGTGTATGAGGCTTTAGAAAATAAGATTCTCATCTTATTGGCACACAGTCGTCCTTTCATCTTTGCTGTGTATTGTGTGAATTATTGAACATTGTCTGATTTCGGTTTCAGATGCTCGGTTGGCAAAGTGGTGTCCTAGTGTGTGTATATAAAATATGGCGTCCTGGATAAACACGTCTTTGGTATTCCGTCAGCTGTTTGGGCTCGTCATTCCAATCTACTTCAAGGATGCTTTCATTCTTGAACAGTTTCTAACTCCACCCCACAGAGCAGGTGTCGACCGATGAATGCCGCACGTGCCGACGTTTTAACCCCTCAACCATAATTAGATCCTTTTTGGAAGCTGTAACGCAATACCTCCCGTCGGAAATCATTGCACACGATGGCAGCTCTTCACGATAACATGCTATTTATACCTCCGCAAAAAATGAATGAGGGTGCTTCCGGGAACAAAAAAAAAACACTCGCGTCAACCCGCGCTAAAAAAGTGACGCAACCGATATAGCAAACTCAGAAGTCCTCGACCCACACTCCCTAATTTTACGCGTAGGCAGTCGAGCTGGCATGTCGCAAAAAGATATTCTTGGCCTCCGTCCGCATCGGCAGTGACTCTCTTCTTCGAGCGTCCCATTTCCTGGGAACTTATAAACAGCGCGTGATGGAAGCTTCATAAACCGGGCAGCGACGCACATCAACTGCGCAAGTTTTGGGGCTCGTGCGTCCGCATAAAAATTATCTTTTTATGCGGACGTAAACAACGAGAAACCGGAGGCTTGTCCACCTCAGATTTTGCTTATATGACGAAGTCTGAGTGAGTTACTTCTGCATTTACTTTCAAATCGTACAACCGACGGCAGTCAAAGGCGCGAACACATACAACCAAGAGAACACACGCACTACACGCTAAAAGCGACCTTCACGGGGCTTTCCCTCTGGGCGATTGGTTCAGCGATATAGAGACGTGAGGGACACTACGAAGTTGGTGTTTATGGGGTTGTTCGATTAGGTCCACCGGCTCCTATAGCCTCGTCTGCTCCCCGACATGAGATGAAACGAAGTATAGGCACGCGCTATGCTTCGTTTCCAGGCTCAACTATTACGCGGTATTATTTTTTTAAGCACGATCACGCTACATTCGCTGTCCGTCATTGGCTTAAAATAGAAAACTCACAAAGACGGCGATCGGAGTGACGATTCACCTCTTTGCCCTGCTTGAATGGCTCCATCGATGCGTATAGTGGCGACAGCCGTCAGACTTAGATTGAAACGGAGTACGGTAATGAAGTTACCTGTATCTGTATCGAAGTGCTTTTCAGGCTGGCGAGGGGTCGAGAAAAAAAATGCTATCGTATTTAAAACTTGGGGCGCGGCCGCTGCTGTCGGTACTGCGCATGCGCAGACGCTTCGTTCCTCCCGAGTTTGGTTTCTGCGCAAGCGCAGTGCCCACACCTAATGTGGGCAAGGCGGGCTTGTCTGGAAACACTGTGTTGGGGGATACCACTGATCTCTATGTCTATTTGCTGGATCGCGTTTGACCAGCTCCTCCTGTGGACCGGAATGCGGTCACTGGCGGCCATCTTTAGGTAGAGTTATATCATCTCTAGCCATCATAGTAATATGGCGGACAGCCCAATGGCGGCAGGCTGCCATAAAAATAGCCGTGGATCTAGTACACTGTACCGTGGGTGACATTTCGTGCTTGATTGAAGTTGTTCGACGAAGCAGATTCTTGAAACCCAGCGTGAACGGTAGCCTCATCTTTGAGGACCCGGCAAAAGTTCTACGAAAGCGCAGCACCGGGGGAAAGCAGCGCAGCTCGCATCAAAAGCAGACTCCGTACCGTCGTCTGCTTTCGATGCTTCTTTCGATGCGACTTTCGATACGTGCTGTGCTGCTTTTCTCCCGGTGCTGCGATTTCGTGAAACTTTTACCAGGTCCTCAAAAACCGGACTACTGTTCACGCCGGGTTTCAAAAACATGTTTCGTCAAATAATTTTAATCAAGCACGCAATATCACCCACGCTTTTTTGACCGCAGCCTGCTTACCCACCTGCCAAAACGCTATCTGCCGTGGATGGATGATAGCGGCTGCAGCAGCTTACATTGGCTAGAGGTGATATAACTCTACCTAAAGATGGCCGCCAGTGACCGCATTCGCGGAGCGGGCAAACGCGATCCAGCAATTGTCATAGAGATCAGTGGGGGATACGCTATCGGCGACAAAATCCCAATACCAGAGAAAACGATTAACGTGAGAGGTCTGCTCGTAGATGGAGCTACGCGGAGCATTAGTGACATGGCACTAACAGTGCGGAACCCCCCCCCCCCCCAACCCTTGACTTTTTCTAAAGCATGAAAAGGTATTTGAAAGCTACCCAAAAATCCAAAAACTTTGTCCTTCCGTGCATTTTACGCTAAATTTAGCGGGGAAAGTGGCGTCACATGACATCACCTCACGTCACGTGACCAATACAGCTTTGCAAAATTTACGGCACGTGACCTACATACGTCAACTCAGTTTCCTCGCTGAATTTAGCGGGAAAATCAATGTCTCGTGGCCAAAACATCAATTCAGCTTCCCCGATAAATATAGCTTTAAATTGACGTCGCGCGACCCACACGCCAATTCGGTTACCGGCTTAGCGGGAAAAATTCGCGTCTTGCGACCTAGGAAGCCATCCAGATTTCCCGCTAAATTTAGCGGGAGAAATTGACGTCAGGTGGCCTATAAAACTATTCACTTTCCCCGCTAAATTGAGCGAGAAAATACGCGTCCCGCGAGACGCCGATTCACTCGCCAATTATACTGCGTTACGTGCATCGTAGGATTTTAAAGGAAAAGGTAAAGGCGGAAATATATATATATATATATTTAATTACTTCTCAGTTACAATAAATAATGCGTGATAGTCTCTGCCAAGGTGAGAACCTTGGCAGTGACTATCACGACCTCGCGTCTGAGCTCGCGTCTCAGACGCGAGCTCAGACGCGAGCTCGTGATAGTCGCGTCCGAGCTCAAACGCGAGCTCGCGTCTGAGCTCGCTTCTGAGACTATCACGAGCTCGCGTCTTAGACGCGAGCTTGAAGGCTCGCGTCTCAGACGCGAGCCTTCGACAGTGCTTCGGCGTCTCGTGCACCTCTGGCACCTGCGCAGTCAAAGCACGGCTGAAGGCAAGGAGCACGTGCTGTTGGCCCTGGCGTTCGAAAGACACAACCCGCCCTTCCCACTCTGTCAGTGACTACAGTGGTTTCCTTTAAAAAAAAGCAAAAAAGCTTTGGTTTTTTTTATTTATTTTTTTTTGTTTTTTTTTAGAACGTGACGAATTCACGTTTTAGTTGACGGTCAAGTTTGAACGGTTGAATTCGTCTGTTCCTTCTAAAAGGGTCGCGTTCCAGGAACGTCAATCCTTGCAACTCCGCTCTGTAGAACACTGCGGGACCTGTACTATATTCTAAATAATATAATTCGAAACTTCTTTTATTCTCATGGAAATGCCAAGTTTAATTTCCATTGTACGCGACTCAAAGGATTTTGGATTAAGTCTTTATTGCATCAATCAACGATTCATTGAGTAATAAAGCGCACCGACAGATTGGTTTTTAATTTACTGCGCGATAGAATGTTTAGCGTAGTAATTGATCTGTGGTTTGCTCTAATGACTGACCGAGCGTTTTACTGATAGATATTTTTATGCATGATTAAACTATCAATTGACCAATGGATTTGTATGTTTCTTAAATTGTGCATTGAGCGTTAGATTTGTAAAATATCGGACATACAAGATTTTATATTATATGTTTAACACTAATGCAGGTATTTTTATATTGACTGATTTGTCAAGCTTATCGATTTATCTATTGGTTGATAGTTTGGTCTATATCTTGAGTTTTTAGATCTGGATTATAATAGGGTTGAATAATTGACATTCTGATAGGCAGAATATTCTCTGCGTGCCAAAACTGAGGGAGAGGACAAGACCATAGCGCGTGGGGGGAGTTAGAACGCTGAGCTCTGGTTGAAACGATTAGAAGGTAAACGTAAAGGTCTTTACCTGTCTTTACTGTCATAGCCTCTAATATCCTGACAAAGCCTGGCAGATCGCCACGAGAAGCTGCCGCCGAAATGGAAAAGTTGGAGCGGCAGACAACGGAGGAGAGGAGAGTCACGTGACTGGTGCCCGCTGCGGCGAGACGCCGAAACGCACTTCTCCCGAGCGAACAAGTGTATTTCGGGTCCTCGCCACTGCAAAAGCTGTGCGCTGACGACCAGGTTCCCCGTGAAATGCTCTGTGCTACCAGATCCTCGCGCTTCAAATCTGTTACCAGGCAATCTATATGGATCCGTCGTCGAACTGCCAGGATTTGTGAGTAGAGAGGAGGCTATGAGCCACTGCATTCGTCGAACCCGCTCGAATTCGAAGGTCAAACACCGGACGCCGGCTTTCTGTGTTCAAAGGCGTTCGACGAGTGCAACGGAGACAAAGGCAGCGTGCTCTACTTTGCGACTACCCTTGCATCATTCCAACCATGGGCTCGGTGTTCTGAAATCCTCGCGCGCTCTGGTCTCCCCCTTTCCCTTAGGCTCTGCCCGTATACAGTTGACTGGATCTATCGATGAATGGATTGATTGATTGAGTGTATGATGGATTGATTGGTAGCTTGATTGTGATTATAAATTGATTGATATTCGATTTAGCGATAATGTATTTATTCCATAATTGTTAAATCTATATTTTCGTGGATAAGTTTATTGATGTCTCGCTTAGTAATTCGTGTTTATTTTGTGTGCCTTTGCAGATGGGCTACGGCGTGAGCAGGCAGTCGGTGCTGCGCGGCGAAGTGGACCCCGATCTGAGCAACTCTCTGACGGCCCGACAAGCCGAGTTGGTCCGATCCACTTGGGCTATCGTGTCGCAGGACCTTGCCGGAACAGGGGTGGTCGTCTTCAAGAGGTGCGTCTCCTCGTTCCTGCCCGCCGCTTTCAGTAAAGAATGAGATACCTCTCAATGGCGTCACCGAGCTACTACCAGAAATTTGGCCGTCCGCCCGAACGTGCTTTGCTCCGCTAAATTTAGCGGGCAAGTGGATATCACGTGACCTTATAGTATCAGGAGACACCACGAATGGATACTTTTCAACAATTTTCCCACTAAATTTACCGAAAACACGCGTCACATGATCTGATGTCGCGTGACGCCAGATCACGTGTCAGAAATTGTCTTCAATAATAAGTACGCGAACTAACTTCACATGAAAACGTCACGTGACCACACGTCTCGCGACTTAATCGCGTGACGTGACGATACTGTGTCAACTTGTAATGTCACACATAACGACGATCTCCCGGCTACGTTTAGCGGGGAAATGAGGAAACAAAGTGTTCTTCTTCACTTTCCGAAACGGCATGCGTAATATCCTCTCAACAAACTTAAACGACCTATTCGTAAATGCTGCTTTTCGTGCGTTATAAAATTTGGGAGATAAAAGTCGCTGGCCATTTTTTGCCTTCCAAGCGACTCGTCCGAAGCGTTAGAGGAAACCCTCCGATAGGGGCTGGATGTACGGAGCTCGGCCCTTGAGACGCTTCAATCTGAGCCCTTTACGGCCTGAAGCCAAAGAGCGGTACTCACAAAGGACACCCACTTAGTCCCTCAGTAACTATGGGGCCATAGACGCGAAGGATTTCAGGCTCAAAATAAACTTGAAACCTAACACTTTTACAACCTTCGAAAGCTTTTCTTCTTCTTTTTTCCCCGAAAATGTAACTAAGAATTGGTAACGTTCGTAAAAATACACAACGCTGATACCCGTCATAGTCAACTCGATATATACCGGGGCAAAAGATTTAAAAAAAAAATCAAAACAATAAACTATGAATTTCCGTAAGCAGTTACTGCCCAAACCTAACGCTAGGGGTCCGTACCGGATCCCAAAGCTTCAAACCTTACAATTTCTTTGCTTTTTTTTTATTGAAAGATTTGGAGCGTTTTTCTTAAATTTTTAATAAGAAATTGACGGCCAGCGGAACCTACGAATGCGGGGAGATGAACGGCGCCGGCATCTTGGAGCGGGCCTCATTGCTTCATTGAAAATTCTCGAAAATCGCTTAGTAGTTTTTAATCAGATAAAGGCAATTTCAAAACTTTGGAAGCCTTGTCCTGAGGACGTGTGCTCCATTTGGACAGAGCGTGATCATTCGGCGATACATAGTTTATATTTTCAGTGGAAACAAACAAAAATATAAGTATTTCTTATGGTACTTTTGTGTAAAAAATAACACTTTAATTGCAATATAGGCGCTTGAATGACGCTCAATGACCTTTCTTTCAATAAAAACATTTTTAATCAACGACATTAAACCTGTTGAATGTCACTAATCTTATAAACATATTTTATTTATGTAATGTTTGCGCTACATTGCTATGACAAGACCAGTTTTGTTGAGTTCTCTTATTTCTTGTGTTCCACTTCGGGATTATTTTATTTTAATGTTAACAAATGACGCTCTTGTTAATTACTTTGTTTGTGGATTTTGTTGTTTCCTTACTCGTTCGTCTAATGATACAGGTACCTCGTATTATAATTGCGTGTGTTCTTTTTATTTACGTTATGTTTTACTAATTTGTTTTTTCGTTTTTGCTGCGTACCCGTAAGAGGTCTGAGAATCAGTCGAGCTACAACTTTCTTTTTCTCCCCACAAGTATGAACCCACCATACTTACACGATGAATAAAGTTATCACTCTCATGGTGATTTCACTTCGTTACCCATCTGTTCTCGGCCCGCCTTATACGCATATGTTTCGCAAAAACACCTTGCCCCCCCCCCCCCCTCAATCTTAAAAACGGCTTACTCGTACAATGGTAAAATATCAGCACTACACAACTGTTAACGCAAGCCTAAAACCGCAGGCACACTGCCAATACATCACACAAAATACACTTTGCAGATAGTAAAGAGTTTTAGGGAACCGTTTTTGCAAATCCGGTACGTACCGTACCGGAGGACCCGTCGTGCCGTATCGGGTGTGCAAAAACGGTTCCCTAAAACTCTCCAGTATGACAAACACGCTTCGAACACGGGTAAGGCGTGTAAGAAGAAAATTCTATCGTCACGGGTGTGGACCGAGCACCGGCTACTTTCGTAGCCGCAGGGACGGCCGATTGAGCGAGGTGAATCTGACGCAAGACGGAAAAGAAATGAAACCGAGTTATAGAATTTTTTTTAAATTTCGCGCGAGTTTGAATTGAGGAATGAGCCCCCGGTGCTTTTGGGGGACGCTAGTAGCCGTTTGTGAGGCGCACAATGCCGGACGCACAGAAATGCGTTACGGGGCTTTTGTCAAGCGGCGAACTCGGAAAGGGGTGAGCGATGCGCAACCCGCACCTTTCGTTGAGAGACGGGCGCCGCCAAAGAAATTTCGCTCGATGTACCTGCGCGGAGAAAGCAGAAATATCGCGGCGCGACGGAAGTTTTACGTGTTGAGGGAGATGGGGATTGCGGGAGGACGGATATAATGGCAGCTTCAATTGCTGTATTACATGCAGGTCTGTTATTTGCTATACGCTCCTAAAATATGGAAGGTTTTTTTATATATAGAAATATATAGATCTTTTTTTTTTTTATCTGAAACAGATAGCGAATTCCTGTTTTTTTTTTTTTCTATCTTCCTCGTAGGTTTTTAGAAAATAAATTTCGAAACAAAAAGTATAGTCTTGCACACTTGACGACTGAGAAAGGTTTTGTTTCGATATTTATCTATTTATTCGTGTATATATTTATTTCTCCACCAATATTCCTGAGAATATTTTTTTTATATCTTATTGAATTGTTTCGGGTGTGGTTTCTATCTTATCACAAATTTTTTTTTTGCGAGACTATTCATTCATTCATTCATCTATTCATTGATTTGTTCATTCATTCATTGATTTATTTTAACCTCGGGGCTCAGAGGCATTTAAAAAAAGTGAGGAATAAAAAACAATTATAAACAATATACAGTATTCTAACAATGCGAACTCGTAGCTGACAATACTTATACAGAGAGCGTTGTTAGCAAAACAAGTAAGTGGTTCAATTCACTGTGAATTCTAGGAATACATGATGCGCAAAGTGTGATAGAGTGGCAAAATGGGAATACCACCGAATTCTTGACGATGATAAAAAGCGTGGGGAAAGAGACAATGGTGCGATTCCTACCTACGCTTTGAATTAAAAAAAAAATATAAGGGATGAATATCTTTTTGAAATATTACAACACACAAAGGAGATTACGATGATGTACGTGAGAGACAAAGTATTTTACTTTGCTATTGCGCCTACAATGGGGTTATTATGAGACCTGTACGGTAGCATTTGGACCTAATCAATTTATCTGTATTCGGTTATCTTTTAAGGTAAATTTAAATATTTCAATATATTTATTATGAATAAATTCTAAGAGTAATTTGATTAATTGTTGAGAATATACTCAAAGTCCTTGTAACGGTTACTATTTTCCCTGTTCCTTTTTATGGCGCCCGTCCTTTGTACATGCTATTAACCTAGGAATCCTGGAACCTAATGTCTCCGAGAGGAGGGCGATTTCCCAACACTAATCGATTAAGCAGATAAGTATTTCATAATTCGGTGATTATAATCTGATCATGTACGCTAGCGATAAGGACCCGTCCGGCAGAAAAATATATCGTTTTAAAATCTGGCGTAATCGCCAAAGAAATGGTCACTTTTTTTTTCTTTTTTCTTTAAGCATAACGAGCAAATGTTTTCTTTTTGAGTAATCAAGTGTCTAATCGAATGCTTTGATACCAGTGCAAGTATAATTATAATCAATTATATCTTATTCAAGTAATCCGAACGAGAATGCTTAGAGTAAACTATTTATTGTCCGCTGTAGAAGGTGAGGGTGTGGACTGTTGTCCTCGCGCATATCCTGCTTTGTGATTGGTTCATCGGCGTTCGTTTCGCTTAATTCTGAAATCTGATTGCTTACGGAGCCATAATGAGATGCAGCGGAACTGACCACGCCCTGTCTTTCTTCACCTCTGTAACCGTAATGCAAATTACGCGATTTTTTTTATGAACGATATTAAGAGGGTTATTGAAGTAGCTATAGTACGTCAATGCCAACTTTCTTGGCTCCTTCAGTAGAATAAAGTGTTTTTGGTGAAAAATCAAGTCTAATTGATTTGTGTGTTATGATACCCTGTGCAATTACTGCAGTCCTCTTAAAAATTACGATCCTCTTGTCAAGAAAAGGAGAAATTTATAATTTTGTAATCCATGGAATACTATAGGCGTCCAAAAGTTTAGCTACTGATTATTAATATTTTATGACTATCATCTAAAACATACCCTTCAAACGTTTCGATGTTTATTTATTTATTATTTATTTGTTTAAAAATACTGCCAATCCCACTGCGTATGTTTGGAGATGTTGGGACAAAGGAAATATACGCCAAGCGGCAAACATTAATAGAAACAGAAAAGCAAAAAAAAATCCCGTCATTCGTATAACATAAAAAAACATATCGATTAGTATACTGACGTAGTATTTGTTCTTCAAATGCATCCCTAAACAATCCAACACTTGTGCAACTAAGAAAGTGAGTGTCTAAACGGTTCCAGTCTCTTATGGTTGAAGGAAAAAATGAGTACTTAAAACTGTTGTTATTGAATGAATACTGAACGAGTGTCTTGCTCTGTTCATGTCTAGTGGCTCTCGCTTCCGATCACTTAGCGTGCTTGTTTTTATCTATTTGAAATGTATCGCTTAAAAAAAAGGAATATAAATTTCAGTCGACAGATTTCTTACACGATCAAGGATAGTCAATAAACCAGCTTCCTTTAGTACTTCGGTTGGTGAATCGAAACGGCTGTATTTGTGGTAAACAAATCTGAATGCCTTTCTTTGGACACTACCTATAGTACTCATATTCTTCTGCATATGTGGG